GGGGGGGGGAGGGGGGGATAGACGGAAGGGTGAAAAGTACTGGTTAGAGCGATGGAGAAATAGATGGATAGATCAGTTATGATACCCCAGTTCAACTCTGCCTTATTGACCTTTGCGGCAGTTAGTATGCGGAAGGCCCTTTTTGAAGGGGCGCGAGAGACTGAAGAGCACCTCGAGTTTTTGAATCAAAGCAATTGGATACTACTCAGGTTTTGCTGGTATCCAGAGATACACCAGGGCTAAGCGATTTATGCAGTTTCAAGCCGAGCAAAGTCTATGTCAACAGCTCTGATGCTCAGTTGTATTCTAAACATGACAGCCCACTAGAGCTGTGTTTCCTTTGAAGCCAACTGCTTCGAGAAAAACAAATGTGACACTGAGAACGAGATCCTTGTTGACACATTGTTTCACGGCAATCTCATCTCGATATTTGATAGGAAATTTGGTTTCACAACCTAGGTACACACAAACTGCATCAGAGATTGGTAGGTTTGTGCAAAATTAAAGTCTGAGGTTTGCTGAATGCACTGAGAGAGAGGCAAGGTAAATGGGGGATGCCTCCGTCAACCATTGGGAACGGGAGGGTTGGTGGCGAGATTCTCTTCTGACTCTTCTGGGCAGATGCGGGAGGTAGGTATTCATGTTGGGTGGTAGGTGGCTGGGTTATTGGTACGAGTCTGAAAGCTGTGAAGGATTTGGTTTGACTGAGCTGAGTTCTGAGGAAGTAGGATATAGTGTTTCCGGGATTGCGTGGCTCCTGTCTGCCTATCTTGTCATCTCGATCAGAAGCATTCTATCTTGTTGGACAGGCCGCATGTAAAAGTAGGACCTAGGATAGGCAACTACTGTAGGTCCCGCTTCTGTCGAATCATGGGATAGTGACTCGGAAAGGGATCACATGATGGAAAAGTGGCGTGCTTTGTTTTGTTGGACAAGGTGTGTTTTCGGGGTTGGTTGAAATGGATATCTCCGAGACTGCCGTTGGAAGTGAGCCTAGGTAAGTCAAAGACCAAGAGCTCTCCAAAGATAAGGAAGCCATGATTCTTTGGAAACACCGGCTCTTCGGAAGATGACAAAAAAAAAGGACTACATGTTTCTTACGACAACTTTTAGGTGAGACAAATAAAATAGGTAACCTTGAGAAAGCATGGCGTCCCACCCACCTGACGCCTCGATCTTGGAATTGGTGATTTTAGGCTTTGAGAAGTTGGCTGTAGAGATGACCAATCAGAATAGACTAAGTGGGGCGTGTTCCTTCCCACAATGGGCAACAAGTTCGAGACCGCTCCTGCGATAAAAAGCTCTTTCTCTCTCCTGCCAGTTTCATGGCTTCCAGGTTTTTATAATGGTTGATACAGAGGGGCATCAGTCAAAACTAAGGACTTGTTTTATCAACATAATACGGTTATTAATTCGTGGCCAGTTGACACGCAAGTGATCAGCATGGTACTAACGGAGAGAGATATCGACGCTTATCACCACACTCGACTTATTATCCACTTATCGCTTCCTTCCTCGATCTTCTTTCGGTCCTACTTGCCTCGGCCCATCACGAGTATCTCCTCTGAGAAAACAGATGACCAGTCGCTGAAAAAAAGGTGCGAGAAGAAGCAAAGCACACATCGCCTTATTTATCTTGTGTCGCCAGAGATGATGAACGCTTTGCATTGGATCACACTGATGCAACAGACACCATGTTTCAGATGGTTCAAGCCAACCCCTGCAAAGTTGCAGCCCTGCGTGAATACTCAAGTTAGAAGGTGCGAATGCAGGGAACTGGGCCGCTTATGTTCCATTTATCTATTCCCAACAACTCTCCTCCTGTCTGTCTGTCTCTATCCTTCTCTCTCGACAAGCATCATTTGACAAGAGTCATTTTCTGACAAGTAGCTTTCTGCCAAGAGGGGCCAGACATCACAAAAGAGATAGATCTGATTGTGAACTTCCATCAATCTGGCATGTGGAACTACATCAGAGAAAGCTATTAAAAGTGGGTGGTATGTTTGCTCGACAGTCTCAATCTCACAATGGCAAGACTGGAACTTGGCAACAGCGTAAAAGCTCGCTTAGTTAGTTTTACTCGATGGAACTCGTGCAATTTGGCTGAAGCCCAGTGTGAATCATCCCGTCATCCATCCTACGCAGGAAGCAGAGCTCGGTACCTGTGATATGTACCTTTTTTTTTTTCTTTGCGTGAAGTCAGCACCCGGCAACTGAGTGCGAATACACAACACACCCCAGGAATTATTAACCTTGACTCCCTCGGTTCAATTCCCACCCACCTTGTTATCTAAATAAATCACCTAGTCTGCCCACCGCACTTTCCCTCTGTTCACCTCTTGCCTCTTTTCTGAGACTTTTTTTTTCTTTTGTCTCCGCTTCAACTTTATCAGATAAATCGCTCTCTATCATCAGCAGCAAAGTGTCCCTAACCAAGCGACTTGCGCACCCACGCATTACAGTGAATTTCCCGGCCCGAGTCTCGTGTGTGTCTCGGCGCGTCCCAGTGGAAAGAATCCGGACAACAAAAACAACTCGAGCTTAACAAACTTCACTGTTTGTCTCTTGCGCTCGGCCATCCAAGTAAGTGAAGGGCTCTCTTCTGGATTTGATTGATCGATTCGCAACTAATATCTTGTTATCATCACCAGCTTCATCCTGTCGACTTGGTCAGCACAAACACATCCACGCGCCAAGCCTTCCCAGCTCAACCGATCCTCTCGACTTGTCGCAAAGTCGGGGATCAGCATCACCTGTTGGGTGTTGCGACGACAAACTGAAGCTTTACTTTGCTGATTGACGTGAGTATTTCGGTTCTTTTTCTCTAGTTGCAATTATCAATGCTTTTGTGCTTCTTTTCGTGTCTCTTTTCAAATCACGTCATATACGACAAGGGTCTTGCATGCGTGTTCACACTTGGTCAAAATGTTTTTTTATTTCATGTAATGGGTTGAGATGTGGCAACTTTTGATGTTTTCCCTCTGGCGCGTCACTTGCTCAGGTCTTTGGTGGGCTTTTGTTCACGAGCTCTGTCTAGTATTATTCATCTTGGATTGCCACCCAGTTGGACCTTATCCACCAAGATTCATATTCCGCCATTCGTCTTCGTGCCTAAACATCGCTGACTGACAATCCCCAAAAGACACTGCTACATATCAGCAAATCACACAACACCCAGAGCCTTGACTGACTATCTACGGATGTCAGTTGGAACAGACAAGATGGAGACTACCGTCTCTGTGCCTGTTGCGAGAGAAGGTGCCCCAACTGCCATGATGGATGAGCCTACATCATTATCGGTTGAACCGCCAAAGCCATCACCCAAGGACGAGACTGTCAAAGATGAAGCGGTTGATGGGTAAGTCGTTCCTTCTATTTTCTGTGTCGGTAATTGTGATGGAGGGCAATGGCTGTGAGGGGCATGCGACTCGTTCCTGCCAGTTCTTCTATGCACATTTGCTCTCAGCCAGGTTTTCATTTTTTTTCTTCCAACACAGTCTGCGTCGTATGTGCACGGTATCACAGCTTTCGTGGAACATTTTATTAATTGCTCTCTTGCTCCCAAAACTTTGCTTATTTTCATCACGCTGACAGCAGTCGTCCCAGTGAGATCAAGAAGCCAGAATCGCCCATTGTTGAGACTCCAGTTCAGCAAGAGTCTTTGGACAAGTAAGTCATCCCCAGAGCCTCAGAAACACACATCAGACCAGTCTCCTCTCTTTCTCTCTGGTCCTGGTGGCCGATCAGATGACCAGTGTCATCGCCAAAGTCGATCGGCTTCTGGGATACACTTTGGCTACGAGCCATTGACTATGATACTGTTGCCTTCGTCAAGCCTTCGTTGTTGCCATCACAGAGGACTTTGAGCCCCCTTGAGCACAGACTTCGAGGTCGGAATGTTGAAGTGAGCTCCAACCTGGCTCAAGTCGCTTATGACGTCTTATGCTTCGCGTCCCTTGTTGCCTTGAGCACAATCTACACAATTTGCACCCCCTTGCCCTCAAAATCCCACTTTTCAACAATCTCCTACCATGGTGGCTCAGACAGACAAGTGTTTTGCTGCAGTCTTTCTCCTCCGGCCACGGCTCTCGAAGAGCAATTCGTTGCCTTTCCTGGTTTGTATACACTCCTTCAAAGCATCTCATGATACAACCTCGATCACATTCTCATCCTGTCAGTCAGATGTTCTGTTTTTATATGCAGTCAACTAATGTGTTGCTAGACGTACCGATCTGGACGGGCACAATCTCCAAGAGGACGAACTTCACGAAGAGCTCACCCCCCCACCAGATTCTCCAACAGATACTGCTAGTATTGAGGATCATCCTGACGACGCTGCTGAGAACCCTGCCGAAGACACGACAGAGGACTTGGTTGATGACGATCTTATGAGTGTCGTTTCGAGCCTTCCCGTCGACGAAACTCAGGATCTCATGAGTGTCGATTCGAGCCCTGCCATTCATCACCTGGAAGACGAGATCGTCGTTGGCACCAAAGCCAACAGGAAGCTGCCCGTCAACCAGGATAAATCCGATATAGCTGACGTCAACATGGATCCATCTGCGATTCTTACCGGCAAGCGCAAGCGGACTTCCACTTACTATGCTGACTCTGTCCAAGAAGACAGCCCTGGTCCTCACGAAGGTCGTGTCAAAGCCCGGCCTGCCAAGACTCATGGTTCTGGAGGCGTCAAAGGTGTCATCATTGGATATTGGCGCGATTCTGAGGTCGAAAATGAGGCTGATAAGCATTCCGTGATCGGCTTCATTGACTCGAGGGATCGCCTTAGAACCAGAATCCAGACAACTACCCGCGACAAACGTCAGGTTGATCAACGCTACCCGATCCCCCCTGGCCCCGGTGGGAGTTGGGTCATCTTCGAGAAGATTGTCTTTGAAGACCACCTTGTTGGTCTCAATCATCACATGATCAAGGAGTTTGTCAAGATCCGCGCCGATAATCTTGGCGAGAACGAGAGCCCCGAGGAGCGCAACATAGCCGACAAAGCAGCTGCCGAGCTCGCGGTTGAGAGAGTCACCACCAACCCTCCCCCCGAAACGGCCAACCAACCTCTCATTGCTTATGGCGCTGTGATACCCGATCCTGCCACCCTTCCCAGCCGTCCCGAGTCCAAGAAACGAAAGGTCACAGGATCCTTTACTTCAGCCCAGCTAGAGCCTGCCCCCCCCCCTCAACAGCCCGCGGAGGCCCTTCCGGGAACCCGGCCAACTCGCATCGTTTTGGGATACTGGAAACAATCCAGTGAAGATGACCCGATTGAGAAGCACGCGGTTTACGGTATCCTGGGTGCTAATGACATGTTCAGGATCAGGCTTGCGAAGGAGACTCGCGATGGTAGAGTGATCGCTGATGGCAACTTCCCTAGTGGGCCTGGTGCACTGTGGATCACCTGGGACGCTCTCGAGTTTGAACCTCATCTCAAAGGTCTCTCCCGCCATGAGGTCAAGGAATATTGCAGGGTTCGCCAGCACCAGCTCGACCAGGGTGAGGCACCTGAGGACCGCACCCGAAACGAGATACAAGCCGTCCAAGAGGCTCAGAAGCGTGCTGCTTTGAACATCGCCGCGGGGACCTCCATCACTAAGAACGACGTTGAGATCTCGATCGAGGGAGCTAATGGCGTCACTCATGGTCTTGCTTCCGGCTCGCCTGCCTCAAAGACCAACGAGCCTCGTCGTCAAACTGGGCTCCGCGGCCGACACTCACTCCCTAATCCCGAGTTCGGAGTTGCTAACCGCAAGTCATCGTCGGCCATCGCCCAGATCGAGAGGACTCATGAGCTCGCCCGTCACGGGATTGAAAAGGTTGAGAAGGCGCAGGCTCGCATTGATCAGCGTGCCAGCAGCACCGCCACGCCCCGAGAGTCATCGGCCACCCCAGCCAACCGCAGAGAGCTTTTCAGTGAAAACATCTCTCGCTTGAACAACGTTTGGGCCAGTCAAGAGGCCACACGCATCCGTAACGAGGGCCAAGGCTACGAAGGAGACGTCCTGATGAACGGTACCATCAGGTACGAGCGAAAGCAAACCGGCCCGTTCAAGGGCATTCTGGTCAGCCAACCCTTCCTGATCCAGATAGACGGGGAGGATTACGTGGAGTACCGCGTCCTCACGAAGCCGAGCTTCTAGTAGGACCGGGCGATTCTCTTGCGGCATTTTTTGTTTTTATACCCTGGTGGCTCTGGGCTGGTGGCGTTTTGGGGGGCAGGACTGGGATCATCAATTTGCGTTTCATTGCGCGTGTTTCTTCGCCTCCTTTTCTTTTTGCTCGGACGACTGGCTGTACCTTATTTTTCCACTTTTTCACGGCGGCTTTTTTGTTTGTTTTACGCCTAGCAGCGCGTATACCCCTTGCTCTGTTTTGCTTCGACACGCACCTAATATTCCTCATGGCAACAACACACCAACATTACTATGTAATTGGAGTCGACAAAGAGCGAGCGTCCCCTTGCTTTTTAGGACTGTACAACATCAGATATGTGTTTTTGGCAGCCTTTTTACACGCTCTCAACACCGATGCCATGCTGCTCATCCTTTGCGACATATCGCTACACCACTTGCTTGCGGGGAGGAGGATGTGGGAGGTTAGAAAGGGGTTCTCTACTTGCTGAGCATGGGAAAGGGTTTATAGCGGCATGGTCCTAACAGTTCTCAGGGATCTCGGTTTCTATCGATGGATCTGGATACCTAAACAGATGGGATGGGGGTCAGGTGGAGGGGCAAGTGTCAGAGATAGACTATTTGTATATATACTGCATTTTTATTATATATCTGCGTAGAGTGCGAAGGTGGTGAAATGCGACTGAGAAGCATGGTGTTTTTGGGAGAGAATTGAAAAGGGGGGAAGCCCACACTGTGAGGTATGCACATAGCGGGGTTGTTTATGCGGGGGATGCATATATAGACAACATGCATCATCATCTTTCTCATGAACAGGAGCGCTGTCAACTCTTCAAACCTACAAAAAGTGACTTTTGGTTGAGAATCTCCAAGAACGCGGATTGAAGTCCAGGATTGTTGAAAATTGTCTGGGATTTTTTAACTCATCGAGTCAGACGGCGACGACATCCAAACTCGCGACCGCAATCCAGCTTTAACGCGTTTACTTGCATCATCAGTGAACACCACCACCTCTGTGAGATTGGAGACATTAGAACTCAACATCAGCGACATCAAACGGACATTTTACGAGAAATCCCCGAACCGATGCTCAAAATATCCATCGGCAGCACCTTACCATCACGGCAGTCCTAAGTAGGCTCCACAACCACCACAACCACCACCTGCCAAAAACAATGTCCACATCTGTTCAACTACACCCACCAGCCCTCACTTCCCCTGACCACCCAGTTGTCCACTCTCCACTCCCGCAACTCTTACAAACACCACACGGCCTTGCGCTGCTGGAGTTACAAGGGACGATCAACCTCATCCAGTCAGAGTCTGGGGAGCTAATCCAGATAGGACAGTTGGTATGCCCTCCCTTCCCCCCCCCCCCCAACTGGCCGAGTTCTTGTCGCCGCCACCGTAAACGTGAGTACCGATGACAGCTTGCTTGGAACCCTTGCGGATAACCGGAGCACCACATTGACCTATCCGTTGTTAGCGAAACATTATCACGGGGAAAAAAAGAATCCAAAACTCACCACCAAAGGTCGAAATCCGGTACTTGAGCATGCCCCTTCCCTTGTTCTTGGCCGAGTCAAGGACGTAAGTGATGCTGGTGAACTGCTCCCACATAAGGGCACCCTTCTCCTCACGGCCATCGGCATCCTCGAGAGTCTTGTCGGCAGGAGAGCCAACTACACCAATCATGTCATCGCCACTCTCAGGAGTGTTCTTGTACGTGAAGAGGCGGAAGTTGCCAGTGAAGGGCTTGTCAAGTTTGACCAAGGCCACATCTGCACGGCAGGTGAAGCAGTCAAAAACCCTATGGGCGTTGGGGACAACTACTATGTCATGACCAAAGTAGTTCAAAAGAAGCATTTGATGCTTAAACGCTCGGCGGTATCAACCACAAGTCT